TTATTGTTGTTGTTGTTGTAATGGGATAACTATGCAGTGAAATCTGAAGCAACAGTCTCCAAATTATTTTAATAGTTATTTCTGGAGGGTGAAATTACAAGGAAGTTGGCGATTCACTTTCTATAGTAGTTGTTGCTATAATTTGGTGATTGTATGAGCCAGGCTCTGCAGATTACCAGCTGTGTAGACCTGGGCAAGGGCTTTTCACCTCTGTGCACAAATTTTTCATTTGTAAAGTCAGATCAGTATTGAATAGTACCTACTTTATAGAGTTGTAAAGGAAATTAAGTGAGAGAGTCCAGGTAGAGACTTACAACAGCCCTGGCACTGTAAATCACTCAGTGGTAACAATTATTATTTACTCTGTTGACACTGTGCCAGGCCCTTGGTCCACACAGATAACTAGACCCAGTTCCTGCCAAGCCCCAAAGAAACTCACCTTTATGACGCAGAGTGCTGGGTAAACGCTACTGATCATACAATGTGATGTGTTTATATCAATCAGGAACCTAATTCACACTAGCTTATGCAAAAGGGAAATTTACTGGTCATGTAACTAAAAGGTGCAAAGGTAGATGGCTGGGTCCAGCTGTTTGGTGTCATCAGGCCTCGGTCTCACTCAGCTCCATTTTCCTGTGTTAGCTTCAGTCTCAGGTGGGCTCTCCCTGTGTGAGCCCCTCAACATTAGAGCTCATCTCCTACCAGTTCATCTACCTCAGCAGAAAAGAGAGCCTCTGCCTGCAAAAGTCCTGGAATTAAGACTGACTGGCTCTAATCATGTCTATCCTGGAAGCTGGGAAGTGGAGACAGTCTCATTCCAATCTCATAGACTGAGTTTGGTGAAGAGATTGTTTCCCAAGAGGAGTTTGTTATTCATTCAAAAGTAACCAGAAGAAGGGAGAACACATTGTTCCTGAGCTGATAATAACACTGCCAGGCTATTAATAGAGGTAATAACCGAATGCAGTGGAAGTACACTGGCTGTAGGGATTAGTTCTGTAAAACATGGGAAGGAAAGTTGGGGAGAGCTGAGATGAAGTGGATGGCCCAGGTCACTGTCTCAGGAGATACCCTAGTCTTTCTAGGCTTCTGGCTTTTGTCCCTCTTGCTATTAATTGAAGCATTTCCTTCTAAGCTCCTGTGCACAGAACTAGAACTGGACTTAACCAACAGTGTAAAGTGGCATTGGCAACAACCTTAGCAGGAGTCAGCATTGTAATTTTAAAATACTGACAGTTGTATTGTTTTTAGAACTCTTCTCAGCTGTGGGACATTTGATAGCACAATTAGATGTGTTTATAAGCAACAGGATGCTCTTACTCTTTAGAGGACTGATAGCTGAAGCTGATTCTATTTTATTCCATAGAAATTCAGGTGACAAATGTTCATCCAAAGTACAGCTTTAGGATTGAAAAGGTGCCTATAGTTGTTCCCCCAGTAATTAACCCACTTGTGACATTGGCTTGATTTTAAGATGTCTCTTCAAGAGGCTTACAGCAGTTAAGAAACTTAACAAGATGGCTGTGAATTTAGAAGCAGGAGGGCTTTAGCAGATGTTTCTTACAAAGAAAACAGTGGGAATTATTTTAGTCTTAACTGTAACCAATCTTATGAGGTACTCAGAAAGGAATACTTTTGTCCCCAGTGAAACATCTTAAAATCTAGTGGAAAGGTTACAGAGGTATGACTGATCCTATTTTTAGAAAGCAATATACCCGAGTTCTTTATTTGTTCTTATGAAGCCTTTAAGCCAGTGTGTGTATGAGTGAGGTTGGAGAAGGGTAAACAAGAGGAATGCCAGAATCACTGGCAGGAGTCTGTGTTTTGAAAGCAGCCCCTGGATTCTGATTCTCCTCACCATCGAACCTCCAGGAAAGTGGAATGAATAGGCTTTGGCTGCTGGTAACGATCCAGACAAATCTGCCTGGAAGAAATGGAGAAACCAAACAGGAAACCCAATAAAAACAACACTTTTTTTATTCCCCTTTCCTCTAAAATTCAGAAGGAGAGCATAGAGGAAAAAAATAAACCTAGGTGAAAAGAAGGAAGGATAATCAAGTATTAGAAAGCTGTTTTGCAAATGCATAAGTAGACAGAGAAAGCCAAGGGTGTTCTGGTGTCTGGAAGGCACTATGTTTGGAAACCTACCGTTTTGGTGATTTGAGCTAATACCTTACATTTTTAATAGTTTTATCAGTAAATAAGGAAATGGATTTTAAAAAGGATTAAATGAACTATTATATGTAAAGCACTTAGAATATGCTAAAAAAAAATTGACAGGTGCTCTTATTTTTTAAGTAACCATTTCTGTTAGCCAGAGGGCATAACTGAAACTAAAATCTGTTTTCCAACACCCAGCCAAGTGCCTTTCTCTCTTCATTACACAGACCTATACTTACTGAGACCCTTAAATCCACACTATCATCTTTTAAGAATCACTTTGAAAAGCTCATTAGGAAGACTCAGGTCTCTGTGCTTGCGGGTGTTTTCTTTCCTTTTCTTAAAATTGAAGTATAATTGACATACAATATTATATTAGTCTCCAGTGTGCAATACAGTGATTCAGTATTTTTATACATTACCAAATGATCACAAGTCTAGCTACCATCTGTCACCATACAAAATTAATACAGTATTACTGACTCTATTCCTTATGATGTACATTACATCCCCATGACATTTATTCTATAACCAGAAGTTTGTACCTCTTAATCTTCCTCACCTATTTTCCTTATTCCCCTACTTCCCTCCCCTCTGGCAACCACCAGTTTGTTCTCTATCTGAGTCTGTTTCTGTTCTGTTATGTTTATTCATTTGTTTCTTAGGTTCCACATATAAGCGAAATGATACAATATTTGTATTTCTCTGTCTTACTTCATTTAGCATAATACCCTCTAGGTGCATCCATGTTTTTGCAAATGACAAAATTTTATTCTTTTAAATGGCTGAATAATATTACACTGTATGTACATACTACATCTTCTTTATGCATTCCTCCACTGATGCACACTTAGGTTGTTTCCATATCTAGGCTTTTGTAAATAATGCTACCGTGAACATGGGGGTGCGATATAGCTTTTCAAGTTTTTTTTTTCTCTTTGATAAAAACCAGAAGTAGAATTGCTGGATCATACTGTAATTCTATTTTTAATTTTTTGAGGAACCTCTACACTTTATTCCTAGTGCCTGCACCAATTTACATTTCCACCAACCGTGCATGAGGGTTCCTTTTTCTCCACATCCTCATCAACACTTGTTATTTTATTTTTTTGCTTTTTGATAAAAGCAATTTGATAAAAGGTATGGTTTTGGTCAGGTCATTTTGGTTTTGATTTGCATTTCCTGATGACTAGTGATGGTGAACATCTTTTTATGTGTCTCTTGGCCATCTGTGTGTCTTCTTTGGAAAAATGTCTGCTCAGGTCCTCTGCCCATTTTTTTAATCAGGTTCTTTGTTTTTTGGATGTTGAGTTGTATGAGTTTATATATATATATAGGATATTAACCCCTTATCAGATATATTGTTTGCAAGTATCTTCTCCCATTCAGTAGGCTGCCATTTTATTTTGTTGATAGTTTCCTTGGCTGTGAAAAAGCTTTTTAGTTTGATGTAGTCCCATTTGTTTAACTTTGCTTTTATTTCTCTTGCCTGAGGAGACATACCCAAAAAAATAGTTATGACTGATGTCAGAGAGCATACTGCCTATGTTTTCTTCTAGTAGTTTTATGGTTTCAGGTGTTACACTTAAGTCTTTAGTCCATCTTGAGTTTATTTGTGTATATGGTGTGAGAAAATAGTCCAGTCTGATTCTTTTGCATGTAGCTGTCCAGTTTTCCTGGCCCCATTTACAGAAGAGGCTATTTTTCCCCCACTGTATATTCTTGCCTCCTTTGTCATAGATTAATTGACCACATAAGTGTAGGTTCATTTCTGAGCTATCTGTTTGGTTCCATTGATCTATGTTGCTATTTTTGTGCCAGTACTATACTGTTTTGATAACTGTAGCATTATAGTATAGTCTGAAGTCAGGGAGCCTGAGTCCTCCAGCTCTGTTCTTTCTCAAGACTGTTTTGGCTATTAGAAGTCTTTTTGTATTTCCATACCAATTTTAACATTTTTGTTCCAGTTCTGTGAAAAATGTCATTGGTGTTTTGATAGAGATTGCATTGTATCTGTAGATTGCCTTGGGTAGTATAGTCATTTTTAACAACATTAATTCTTCCGATCCATGAACACAGTTTATCTTTCCATTTGTTTGTGTTGTTTTCAGTTTCTTTAGTTGATGCCTTATAGTTTGCCAAGTATAGGTCTTTTACGTCCTTGGTTAGATTTATTTCTAGTATTTTATTTTTTTGATGCATTTGTAAGTGGGATTGTTTTCTTAATTGCTCTGATAGTTTGTTACAATTAGTGTATACAAATGTGTCAGATTTCTTTAGTATTAATTTTGTATCCTGCAACTTTACTGAATTCATTTATTAGTTCTACTAGTTTTTGGGTGGCATATTTAGGATTTTTTATATATAGTATCATGTCATCTGTAAACAGTGACAGTTTTATTTCTTCTTTTCCAATTTGAATTCCTTTTTTTTCTCTTGTCTGCTTGCTGTGGCTAGGACTTCCAATGCTATGTTCAGTAAATGTGGGAAGAGTGAGCATCCTTTTCTTGTTTCTGATCTTAGAGGAAATGCTTTCAGCTTTTCACTGTTGAGTATGATGTTGGCTGTTGATTTGTCATAGGTGGCCTTTATTACAGAGTTATGTTCCCTCCATACCCACATTGTTTAGCGTTTTTATCATAAATTTATTGTGAATTTTGTCAAAAGCTATTTTGCATCTATTGAGATGATCATGTGATTTTATTCTTCAATTTATTAATGTAATATATCACATATTTTCAGATAGTAACCATCTCTGCATTCCTGGGATAAGTCCCATTTGATCATGGTGTATGATCCTTATTGTTGAATTTGGTTTGCTAACATTTTGTTGAGGATTTTTGCATTTATGTTCATCCGTAACATTGACCTGTGATTTTCTTTTTTTGTGGTGTCAGACTTGTCTTTTTCTATTTCTTTTTTATCATCTTTAGGAAAAAAGGGGTGTTGGAAACATTCTCTGGAACAGAAACCAACAAGATCTGGCCACATGTATATGCGTTCTTACAAACCAAAATTCCACAAATAAACGAGAAAGCACCAGTTACTCCATGAGAAAAAGTGCGTATAACATAAGATGAGCAGAAGCTCCTCTGTGCATTTAGAAGTTCCTTGTCCTAAGAATCTTGCATGTATAAATTCTTTGACAATTGTATTAGTTTCATTTCTACTGATTTTATTCTGGAAATTAAGGATGTGCCAAATGAGTCATAGAGAAAGATTCTTCTTTTGAAATATCTAGTGTGTTTTATTATCTTCTATGGGTGTGCAATTGAAAAATACCAGAGGTGTCTTAACTTGAAAAATCTTGAGCATAATTAAAAGAGCAATTAGTAATAATCTAAACTTTTGTTCAGAAGAAAAGTGGTTGATAAAATTTCCTTATTTTTCTGGAAAAGTAAAAAAAAATTCTAAGTCATTTATGGAAAGCATCTTATCAGAGGCTTTTGTGTAGACCGATGCCAAAAAAAGAGATCTCTAGCACTGTGGTAAAGTTGTATGGGACACTATGTCTATAAAATTCCAGAAATAAAAGCAACTGGACTTATAGATTAGTTGCAGGATGAAAGTTCACTGCTGCCTTTTAATGACCTAACTAAAACAAACAGACTGCCAGATATTTCTCCAGCAAAAATGGGATTATCCCAAATCAGTAGAGAATTGCAATTTGGGGTCTGTAACCATGGTGAGCCACATGTGCAAATGAGCCATGGTGTGCAAATCCTCTGCACAGCAAGGGAATGAGAATGCTTTTATAGAGGGTAAAAGGAAGTTGGGAGGGCTGTAGTAAACCAAGAGTGCATGGCTTTTCATTGGCTGAGTCCTTGCCTGGAAAGAAGAGTCTGTCTTCTTCCTGTTGGGCTCCACTCTCTTCACAAGGCATGAGGGCTCCCCCTTCTGGTCTTCTGACTATTTTAATTAAGGTTTCTGTTTGTTAATTTTTTTACATTTACACTAGCAAACTTATAATAGCCATATATGCTGCATTTTGTTGTTAAACATACTGTTTACTCTAAAATTTCAATTTGCTATAAAAATGTATCAGCTAGCATATAGGAAAATATATTTTCCTGTGACTTATTTTCTCTTGAAAATACTTGAGTACCGAGGGATATTTGTTAGAGATTGACACCATAAGTTCTTGCAAAGCACCATAGTTGAATTTTCAGTAGAAAATTTATCAAATACTTGTCTTTTCAGATGTTACTCAGGTTAAGAAATGTGTGCTTTGGGAACTACTTGCCAGTTTCTCTTTTTGATCTAAATGTATGATCTGCCTTAATGAGTAACAAATTAAACTACAACCAAAAAAAGAAAAAAACATAAAAGAAAACCTAGGGTACTAGGTAAAGTAAGCACACTTTGTCATTAAGAAATAGATCAGGTTTGCCTGGGGAAAATTCACTTGACATACACAACAATCTTAATTCGTAAATAGGTGTAGCAATTACAGGATTTACATAACATGTTTAAAAAAACCAGGAAACTAATTGATTTTGCTTGGAAGACTTCTTTACTCCTAATCAAAGAAGGTGACACCTACTAGTGTTCACTGCTATTCTACCTTAAAGGGGAAGAATCTGCCAGTGAATGTAATCCAAGCAGCCATTTTTAAATGAAGATGATTTGATTCTTTAGTGGGGCGACAGGATACACGCTTATGTACTGTAGCCTGGTGGGGAGAATGAGGTAATATGAGAGGTTAAGGAGAAATCAGACAATGTCTTCAATGGCAGTATCTACACTTAGTTGGTGCTAGGTCAAATGAAACAAATGAAACATTGTACAAGCTGTTATTAACTGCCTTTGAAAATTTGGCCCATTTTTATTCCAATCACTGAAAATACAAATGCCAGCAAGTGATTCTTACGTATTTTGTGGGGAAAAAACTTACTTTTGTTTCTTTTGATTTTTAAAAGTTCAGTGTTGATCTTTTGAAAATGTACCAAGGCTTTTAAAAAGGATTACAATAAACATTTCATTATTTACAAAAGCTTCCTTTAATGCCTTATTTGAATGTTAGTATCATATGCTTTTCTAAAAATGTTGTGAACTACTAAACTTATGAATTATCAAGCATACATTAATATCAACGTATTAGAATTAAATGGAAATTTAGACCTATGGATATTACTTTGTCTTTGGTAATTTACAGGGCACACTCTCTCACCTTCTGTTCTGCTGCCTTGATGTCTTATTGGTTTCTGAATTAGTGACTGCTTTCTAATTGTCTTAAAACAGTGCATACACTGGTTTCATTTTCTATCTCCTGCTATAGTATTAGCACCAACCTGGCCTTCTTGACACCTTAGATTTGGAAATCCAGAAGAAGGATAGAAGAACATGAAAATTAAGACCTTTCTTCCTGTGATCACTCCTCCCCACCCCTAAAACAACCCAAAGTTTTGCACATACATCCACTATTACAAAAAGTACTTATTTTCTGCTGTAATAACTATAATTATGATTTATGTGCCACATGGAAATATGTCTGGAGCTGAATGCCAAGACTAGAAGCTACTATACCTTAGTTAAAGGCTAATAAGAACAGTATTTCAATCCATCATCCCTGTTTCCTGGAGTATAACACTTATTTTGGTACACCTTTCATAAGCAGGGTGTGCTGTGGGAAGTGCAAACTGGCAGTTAGTACCATCTGGCAATTTTATTTCTCAATTCCATTTGAAATGGCTCAGAATCTAAACTGTAGCCCAGGGCTGCTTTTCCTTCAGCTATTTACAATGGCACTTGAGCAAAATAAAATATTTTGGACATTCATTTTTAGACAAATTTTACCTGTTAACAGCAAATCATGATAATTACAGACCTCACCTCAGATTATATTAAATTGCTGTAATATTGTAACCAATAGCAAGAATAAATTGTATTTTGAAGTATGTTTAAAAGTTGTCTTTTCACTGACAAAAAGAAAATATTCCCAGGCACTGGTAAACTGCAGAAATAGCCTTCCTACCTTTGCCATTCAAGATTCTGAAACACAGTCAAAATAGTTTAGCTGTG